TTGCCTTGTTGACTTGGTGTAATTGTTTCTAGTCTAGACTTCTAGTTTCCTACAATGATATTTGGGATTTCAAGTATTTTAATATCTTACAAGTTACAATCTCTTTGAGACTTTTATCCGTAAATCTATTATGTGATTGTACTATTACATTTTCGACTATTTCATGAGGAGTTTGGGGCTCTAAAATTGCCCTAAAAACTCCCAAAGACTTAAAACCATGCCCTAAGAACTCCCCTGTTTTTTTTTTGGGGGGCGGGGGGGGCTACAATTTTGGTGAAGGCACCTCGTCTCTGGCAGGTACCTAGGCAGCCAAGCACCCAAAATGCCTAGGCACTCGAATCTGCATTTTTTAACACTGGCACTACTATATACTATCTACCAAATTCATTTGGAAGCCGAAGCCTATGTGACTCACGGAATCTCCTGAAGCACGCAGACAAAGATTTCAAGTAGTCTTCACTGGCTTGAAAGCCTACGTGCGCTAGTGCGCACTACGTTTTCTTTGCAGCTAGCGCGCCCTGTAGTTTTCTTCATGCTGTTTTCTTCGCACACTTCTAATAAGAGTCATAGGAATAGTCTGCAAAACTAGTGATACATCTTTCATTTCTTTTTTTCTTCTTTCAAGCTCTTCTTAGAAAGTACTCACTGAGTTACTTACGGAACAGAATCCTTCAAGCCGAAAGCGAAAGCCTATGTGACTGAACAACTCAGTTGAGAGCTCCATGACCGGTTCAAGTTCAGGTCCACCAATGATTGATTGGCCATTCCACACATAGTGATTAGATACAAAGGTTCTCCACTCAAAATAAAAACATGGTTGAAGTTGAATTCCAACATCATAAATCACATAAGCACCCATACGATGGCCAGCTTCTATATTGAACTCAATAGCAAAATACTCATAGGAAAATATCACCAAACCCTTGGGGCGCACCTCACATGATACTCCATATTCACGTAAAACTCCAAAAAGAAGAACATCGTCATCATTACCTCCGTCAACACCATTCCCCTCACTACTTTCTCTGGGGACTAAAAACCAATTACCTCCAATATTTTGGTAACAACTCCTTGACATTCACCATGTCCAATGGTAGGATCTTCTTCTTGATCCTCTTTATGGATTGGATAACCATTAAAACTATGATCATCCGCTTCTTCCGTAACACCCAAATCTTCATCTAGGTACTTGTCAAATATTGCCAGTGAGTCCCAGTCCACAACATGCTGATCTTGAGAACTATTTGATGAGAACAAAGTTTCTCCATGCTTTTCCTCGGATAGACTTCCATAACATTCTAAGATCTCAACCTTGAAGCCGATTTCCCACCACCTCCTATTATCCATATCCATATGATCAGCTACCTCTCTGCTTGGAGCTTGATCATGGAAGGGATTTATAGACTCCTCATCTGCCTCGATCTCATCCTCTTGAGATGGGGCTTCCATCAGTGCCAAACGCAAAGCTAGGGTTTCAACCAATCTCCTCAAGTCTACAATCCCTTCTCGTGATTAGCATCAATGGCTTCTACGGTTGCCGCTTTTCCTCCTCTTCCTCTACATGGAGGCATTTTGTTGATCTAGGGCACAAAAATTGACCCTATAGTATCATGCTACAGTAACTTACTACAATATTGTGATACAGTAACATGTTAAAATACCGTCCTTACTGATCTTCAGGTTGTGATACCAACCTGATGCAAACCTAGTAGCTTGAGCTAGGGTTTTAGCAAAGAAGAAGATAGGGAAGATCCAAAATTAGAGAAAAATTCAAGAACTAGAGATAAAAGAGGGAGCACTTGCTGCCCTAGTGTCATGATCATCCATTATGCTTGAGTACATCCCTTATATAAGAAAACCCTAAACAAGACTTAATCCTGGCCATCCATCTCATTTAATCATGGCCATTTGCTATAAAAGACTTTAAGTGAATAAAAGGACATAAAGACTCCAGAAATTATTACTTTTGCCCCTATGTGAATAAAATGATTCAAGAAAAAACATAAAAGAATAGACTCAATAACTAATTTTTCCTTCTGCAGTTCCTCTTGTAAACTTTAAGCTTCTCTCTTATCTAGATACTCAAGAGCAGTGTTCTGGGCTAAATCATTGAGTTAGGGCCATAGACAGCCATGAATTTCAAAGATAGTCTGCCAGTGATTTTTGGAGAGGGCGTCGGAGACAAAGTAGTCACCCACATGTGAGATGTTGAGTGCATGGACCCTCCCATGGGCCTCTCTCGTGCTTTTCCTCCTCTCACTTGTAGTTATTGTCCATGTGAAGGGTAAAGTAAGAGGTTGGCCCAGGCTTGACAAGAGCACGTACATTGATAATGTGAGAGAGAAACAAAAGGAAACCATGGTTGTGGCCAAGTGATTGGCCAAGGCTTGTGTTTTATGTATTTTACATATACACTATAAGTTACAAAGGCAACTTTGTCCCACAAAAACTACAAAAGGACTAATCTCTTGGCCAATTCTTCCTTTTGAAGAAGAACATAGACAACATTGATCGATGGTAATTTCTTAGTGGATAATACATGTGTATCAACTATCTCATGATCATATCATTAAAGACCAACTAGGAATTCGAAAATATGCATCTTCCCAACTTGCCTTTCCCCTTCCAAGATTACAGTTCAACACTTACATGGCGAGGGCTTATAAAGCCTTAAGTTCCTTGTACATGCTTTTAAGTGCTCCATAATATTCCGAAAAAGATTGCTCTCATTGAGAGCACAAGGCTATACCTCTAAAAGCTAGTACATACTAGCAATATTATCTTTTTGACAAAATTTCTCTTTTAAGGTGCCCCAGATCTCCTTGGTTGAATCGAGGCTAATGGTTTCATCTATAAAACTAAGGATCCATGCCATAATAAGTGAATCCAATGCCATTCACTCTACATACTTAGGGTTCGAAGGATACAAGCACTTGGATGGATTTGTCAAAATAGCTGCTGTCATTCAACTTGACAGCACCAATTTGCATGACAATTGTCTCCCTTGAAGGTAGATTTCTTTGATCTGCCATTTAATGGATAAAAGCAACTTCCTAGAAGAGAATCTGATAAATGGAAGCTTTCCCAATTTTAAAGATGCAGTCTTGTATAATCTCTAAACACTTAGGATTAGTCTTGATCATTTCGGCGAGAAAGTTGCAGGCATTTGATCATCGTGAAAAAGGGTGCAAACCCTAGGGATTGTTCCAAACTTCGATCTAGGGATATAAAAAAGATGGATGCAAATGTTGATCACTATAGGCATTGCTTAATGCTTTGATACAATGCAAAGTTTGTGCCTAGATCTCTGGAGAGAAGGGAAACAGTAACAACAAGTTAGCAGAGGAAAAACACGAGAGAAAGGGAGAGGGAGAGAAGGCATGTGGAAAGGGGGGGGAGGTGAAACCCCAGATTTTGGACTTTTGAAGGGCATTTCGTTGCCCTAAATAAAAGAGATGAAGAAATAACTCACAATAGTGGCCCACTAAATGCAACCCACTAGGTCAATCAGCCGAATAAACACCCAGCACAACAATTGCCGAAATACCACAAGAATTACCAGAACTGAGTACAATCGGTGAAAACTGCCTCAGATTGGGGCCCAAAATCCATAGATACCTCTAAGATGATGATAGGAAGCCCTCGGCTAAAAATGAAGAAAAACCAAGCTAGTTGTATGATCAAGCTGGCAATTAGACGACCCAGAAAAAAGCACGATCAAACTTGCTCTAAACTGCAATTTGAGGGTTTTGAACTTTAATCTAAGGTACCTCGAGACTACCCTCCAAGAATCAAGCCAAGTCGATGACACGTGACCACGATCCGGCTCCATAAAGTTGAAAGTGCAAAGTGGGTGCCCAAATCGGCGCTCAATTTACAAAGGAGCTCTATGAAACCCATGGCCAAATGGTCTGAAATTTTTATGTTAGAAAGAAACTTTGTCAAAAGGTTTAAATCCCAAATTTAAGCTCAATCGGAGGTCGGATAACTCATATATGGCCTTTCAGATCTCTTTCTCTAGGGTCTGAGTGGGTGTTCCCCCCCTAAACGACCCAAGTTCACAAAAGAGCCCCAAGAAATCCATAGCTGAATTAGCCAAAACTTGTATGAACGAATATCAAAATTTGGAAACAATTTTGGCTAATTCGGCTATTGATTATCAGAATCAAAGCAAGGAAAGAATATCAAAATTTGGAAACAGATTCGAATTGGATCGATCTCGCTCTATCGGATCATCCGGGATTTTGAATCGAACGCATGATATTCTTCTCGCTTAAGAACGAGCAAGGTAGGCTGAATTCTCCGCAAGAAATCATGTCAAATCCTCGATCGAATCTGCCATCCGATCATACACAGTGGGTGGGCTTGCCCTGGTATCATATACACTTGGTGGTCTAAGAGGGTCCGCTAAACCGATCCAGGAAACTCATGAACCCATTCCTTTGAAAGTGTGTTTTCGTGCTTAGTGAATCGAATGGTTGCTTGCTTCTTGTAAGCATCTCTTGTTTCCTTGCCTTCTAATTTCGTAGTAACAACACAAGCGCACACACACACATGGAGTGAAAAGAGGCGAACAGTGACCTTAGACTCCCCCCCCCCCCCTCCTCCCCTCCCTTTTCGAATATTTCATTTGCTTTACTTTCATTTTCCCACCATTCCCAAATATATTGACAATGTCAAAAAAATGTGTCAACTCCATCACTGTAGAGAGGCACATTGAGAGTTGCTATCTGTAAGGTGCAGAAATATATCATCCATTCTGGTCTGTATGTGTCCATCACAGCAAAAGCTACCATAGTGCAACATTTTGTCCAATTGAAATTGCATCAAACAAACATGGCTCCCAAAAGCATTTTTAATGTAGGCATTATCTATATAACTTTGATTGTTACCTTTCTTGCAAAAAAAAAGAAAAGAAAAAAGAAAAAGAAAAACATACATGCACAAAGTAAGAGAGAGTAGATTATTGTAAACAGGAATCACCCAGTAGACAAGTATACCTCTTTTGCTCGCTGATAACACATGTCAAGAACCCGCATTGCCTCTTCATCTATTTCCTAAATATGGAGAGTAATATAGATAAAATTCTTGTAAGTTTGAGTCCAAATATCTACATTCAATGAGTAACAAAGAACCCTTACATTGAGACGATCTGCTGCCCAAAAGTCACATATGCCATGATATTTCTCGGATAGACCACCAAGAACAAAGCTTCGTGCAGCTGACCTTGCGTTATCAGCTGTCTCAGCCCAAATTGTGCTCAACTGTGCATTTATCATAGCAAGTTACTAGTCTAAAAATATTAAAAATAGCACCGATAAACAGAACTAGATTTCAAACTATCGACTACTTACGAAATTTAACCATTCATATTCATGATTGATTTCATATTTTAGTTCCTTTTTTAGTGGATTCATGTTACATCTTGGTCACTAGAGGCATTACAGGAACAGGAGCAAGGAAGGGTGGAGACAATTTTCCAATAGAAATCATCCAGAAATCTTAAGTAATTCACTGTACTTCATTTGAATCAGAAAGTGAATGTACAAGTACGGTTACAAAAACGAATTCCTCCCCGTGAACTAAATCCTCCTATAACAGTCCTATACAAAATTGGAGTAAGGTTTGATCAATCTGCAAATTATAATATCTACTTTAAGAGAGTCTTTCAATACATCCATCTAGCAAAACAATCTACCACCTAATTGACTCCCTCCATAAGTGGTGGAAGGTACTCATAAGTTACCACACAAAAAAATTCACCTATGAATCATCATGGGAGTATTAGTTTTGGGAGTCAGATAGTACCCAAGCACAAGGTTCGTGCAACTAAGGGCAACAACTCTCCCATTAGGGAATACAAAAATGAACAAGAGACAATGGATGCCGCTTGTAGTTACATGAAAGCTGCTGTAAGAATAAGTGGAAATCACATCCACTGATTTGTTATATGCAATAGCAGAATTGAAATAGAAATCTAGCTCAGACTAAGTGATAAACTTCTCATTTCCAACTGACCCTCAGACAGTTACAATGAAAGCCTCTATAATTATTTGATCCCAGATCAGATATCTACCTTTTTCTTATTGCAAATCATGGAAAAATGGACGTAAAATACTACTGTGTTGCCCATAAGAGAATTATAAAAATGGGAAAAAGTAAAGAATATATTACCTGATCCTCACCGAACCAAAGTTCATCTGCTGCACGTGGGGCTAACTGCAGTGTAATATGGTCCAGGAGAGACTGACGACTGCCCGTAAACAACACAAATTCAGATTCAGATGATGGGATTCTACCTTACATTTATTTGAGAAAAGCAAGTGAATTGGGATAAAAATAAATGACACTAATGCACAATGAGATATTATCCCAAACAAACCTGAGCATCCCTTCTTTAAATTTCACATGATCCATTTTAACTCGAACATAACCTAGTTCTCTGCCTGCTCTGGGAGAAATGGTGACCTACTCAACAAAGTTAAGATATCAACAAACTGATCAAGAGTAAGAATCACACATCCTTAGAATACTTAACACCACACAAACTTAAAAACATACATAGAGCAAAGCTTTTTTTGTTGTGTGTGTGTGTGTGGTTGTTTTTATTTTTATTTTTATTTTTTGGTTTTTTTTTTGAGGGGGGAGTTGAGTGATAATAATCATAAATTATCCAGAGGTGCAGGTTATGATCAATTCAGAACGACTCTTGGGAGACTCCTGAAGTCTCCATATAGGGAAAATTTCCTATAGCCCAGGTTCTATTTATAGCCTTTCTTACACAGGCAGTCGTATACTTGAATAACACTATCCAATTTCAGAGTGGACATTCACCCTACCATCGCCAAGAGATGGTAGATTATGGTCTAATTCATTCCTAATTCTTTTCTAGGGCGGACCTTTATGATAGGTTTCCCTGGAATCTGTAACTTTCTCCATGGCATGTACATGAAAGTATTGAAACAAGTTTAATTGACACCGTTCCAGTCTAAAATGTCATTTCATTACATGGACAGGACAGGAAGACAAAGTGAAAGAAATCACAAGAAACGTTTGGGGTAAACATCGCCCCAGGATTGGAAGTATCAGATGGAATGATGTGAGTAGAGGTAGCATTGATCCCTTCTATCAAAAGATTTGATAGCCTTTCCAAGCATGGAGTAACTCAAGCATTAGAAACACGTGTTTCATCCAGTAGAATAACAGATCAAAAAACAGGATAATAATAGGTCTCTAAAACATCCTATAGATTTAAACCACTTAAAAGTCTAGTACCTGGGGCAATGTTTTCCATGAAATGATTAAAAACCAAAGATCTTGCTTGAACTAAAATTTTTGGTTCTCTTTCAAATATAAGAAGCCAAGGTTTGAGACTTCACATGAACAAAACCACAGATATATTGACAATTTGTGAACACAACATGAACCTAACTGCTTAACAAAAAGGGACATGGTGACTAAAGAGAGAGCATTACAAATTCAATGTTCTTCATGTCGGGAAAATTCACAGCTACAACAGCCATGGCAGCTTCATTGAGAGCAAGTTGCTTCCACATTTCTGGGCTCCTCTCCTTCTTATCAAGCATTCCTCTCTCTTCAATCTGTGCAGCCTGCAGTAAGTCATCCGTTGTAATCTGCACAAGTACAAATAAATTGTTAAGGCAATCTCCATAACCAAATAAGATACAATAATGAGATATTCATTTGCTCCATAAGTGCTAATGCTACACATTTATTTTCTCATCCATCAGGGTGAACTTCAAGCCCCCTGCAGGATTCCTGGGTAAAGTGCATGGCTTTGAAAAAGCACAGAAACAAATGGCATACAAAAAAAAAAAAAGAGAAAACAAAAACCAAATATCAAAAAGTTGCACATTCAAATGAAAATGCATCAACCCCACAAGTTCCTAGAAGATAGAAAATGGATTCGAAACACATTATACCACATGTGCCACTCTTATGTTATACGAAAAATCACGGAAAGAAACAAAGTTACTTATAACATCCAGTGGCTTACCTCACTTCTTCCATCACGCAACATATTGATGGCTGAAATTTCAACAATATTGGCCAGCTGAGCCCCAACCATTCCCTCAGTCATAGTAGCAACAGCCATGTAGTCTACATCATCAGCCATTGGTTTCTTCTGAGCATGTACCTGTAGGCACAAACTAATTCAAAACTACCCCTTGTTCTTTTTTTCTTTCTTTATTTATTTTTTTTTTTTGAAAGTTACAACCTCAGAACTTCCACCAACATGAAATAAGAGGACTCTCAAGAAATACAAAGAGGTAAAGGAAAATCAACAATAAAAGTCAATTATAAAAAATCCTAAATATCTAGTAGGTGAAAAAGCAAACTGGAAGCACAAAAACAGTGAGAGGATAAGAGTGGAAGTGGAGCAAAGCATCTAACATATGCAACTGAGATTATTCAACACACTTGAGTGGCATTAAGCATGTATACAATCTAAGAATGTAAAAATATATTACACTCCACTTAGGGAAGACCATACTTCATTAGGTCATCACCATTTGCTAAAATGATGAACGGACAGATGGTGACGGCAAGAGGGTGGAATCAACCAGAACAGGAAATGACTCCAATAGTGGGTCCTGCTTTCTTTCCATCATCTTTCACCATTTCAGTGGACAATGCTGATTCATTGAACTACGGCTTTTTTACAGCCTATTGGGTTACACAATCCCATCCAAAAAGATATGGGAACAAGAGCACTTTATGTTTACCTAATTAATTCAGGTAATTATGAGACACAGCGAAGGTGAAATGTACAATATAATGAAATCTTAACCATTTACTGCAAAATTCAAAAAACAACTTGCGTCGAACAGACATGAAGGAGCAAATAATACAATTGAAGGCCATGACATTAACAACCCAATTGACAGTACCTTTTAAGTTGTATGGACATAAATCGTTTCATATGATGTAATTAAGTTGCTTATCATTCAAGAGAAAGCAAATATAGCACATTTAACTTGGAACTTTAAGAAAACAAGAGTAATCCCCCATCAAATAGTATGCAAATGCATACAGCATTCAACTTTCAACCTATTTGGAAGTAGGAAGAATATGTCACATTTTCTAGCATAGTAATTCTCAATCTTAAAGGATTGGATCTTTCGTCGGCCTCTCAAGCACAAACTCCAGACATCAAGAATTAATTACAGTGCTTCTATATTTATTCTTGTGTAGGGTCAGCCATGGGTCTCAAACCTGGATGTAATCATGAATGCCGAAACCATTCAAGTCAGTTCCGGAATCCCAATGATGATGCATGGAATGATCATGACAATAGGTTCTTTGAACATATGTATATTATAAAAAAAGAATGTACATTACAGAAAAAAGGAATGTAGCATGCAAAGGAAAATATGGAAGACAGAATTTCTAGTCGTCGTGATCTCCAAAAGAAAAGAAAAAAGATAACCCAATTAGTTTTATCCAGAACGAGGAATGACAGTAGTACCTTATCATCTTATAGCAAGTAATATGTAGCTAGTCATACTTATCACATGACGATAAAGGATGAAACAAGTATCATCCTACCTTCAAAATCTCAACTCGGCCTGTCACGCTAGGTTTAGGTATATAAATTTTCCGATCAAAACGTCCAGGTCTAACAAGAGCCGGGTCAAGAATATCTGGTCTATTTGTGGCAGCGATAGTGATCACATTGCCTCTTCCTTCAAATCCATCCAAACATACAAGGAGCTAAAATCACAATGGTAAGCACACATAAAATATCAATAAGAAATAGATGTCAAGTTTTCTCTTCTTTTGATTATTTTACTTTACATAAAAGAAGAATGTCAAGTACAGCTCTTATTTGATAAGGCTTCTCAACCTGATTGAGAGTAGCATCTCGTTCCTGTCCACCAGAACCCTTAATAAGCCCACGCTCTCTCCCAACTGCATCCAGCTCATCGATGAAGACAACAGAAGGTGCCTATGAAAACAGCATATCAATAATATATACTGAAACAATGTCAATGCCAACAATGGAACTATGAACTGTAATTGCCTTCCAGAAGAAACCCAACTGTGACACTCCACAATAGAAGACATACAATTAAACTTCCTTGAAATCAAAGTATTATTCAACTTGCGTAGTCATCACTACTAATAAAAAATAAAAAATTCTTCAGTTACCAAGTAATGAATACCTTGTGATTCAGGCATCTTAAACATCCCACAAAGCATTATAGAGGAAATAATCGATTACTTTACAGTTCAAGCTTCAATACAAATTTTTGATTAAATGTTCAAGAAATAATGGATTACTTTACAGTTCAAGCTTCAATACAAATTTTTTATTAAATGTTCAATTCAAACTTCAAACGTTAACAGCTATTATCATTATGTAACCCCTTTCTTTGGAGCAGTATGGAATGCATTATTTTGGAATCAATATTTCAACTATGATGAAATTCACACTGCTCACTGCTAATTGATGGCTTGCTTTGTTATGCTCAGCTCTAATTATTATCACTATCACTGGTCATCAGCAGTATAAATCTTAGAGCCATAACTGACCTATTTCTCCTTATTCATATAAATACCATAAAAGTAGCAAGCAGCTATAAACGAATCGGTTCAATATTTCCTAATGGACACTAGTGCAGTACAACGGTTATCAATTTCTAAATTACGACAGCAGTGCAAAATTATACTGATTATGACTACAGACTGGAGCATCATAACATGAAAGAGGATTGTAAAATGTGCAATCTAAAAATAAAAGCATTTAAACAATGTAAAACTCAGGAAGCCTTACATTCTCTCTTGCTTCTTGATAAAGTGCTCGCACACGTGAAGCACCAACACCAACATAGATCTCAACAAACTGAGAAGCAGATATTGAGAAAAAGTTCACACCTGCCTCACCAGCTACAGCTTTTGCTAATAGTGTCTTTCCTACTCCAGGTGGTCCAGAAAGAAGTATCCCACCTAAATCGTCGAAATGTCATATAATGACATTGCCCAATAGATATTTTCTCATGCGAATGCCATATGATTGAGAAAAAAAAAACAAATAAAGCTATTTCAAAAGGGTAAGATCTCCACCTGGTATCCTCACTCCTCTTCTGCGATAAATTTCACCATGTGTAAAAAATTTCACAATCTCTTCAAGCTCGAGTCGTATCTTACCAAGACCAGCAACATCTGAAAACTTAACATCAGCACCCCTCTCTAAGTACTGGGGTAGCCTCGTACTACGGGCACGCCTAACCTTTGCGCCCGATTTCATGAACTTCATCGCCATTTTGAGATACGGGTTTTTCTCACCCTCCCCTTCATTCTCATCATCATCATCAACATCGATGCTTTCCAATTCCCTTTCTAAAGCCCGCATCTTCTTCCTCTCTTCTGCCTCTGCCTGTTGTATCTTGATCCTGTCCTCATAATCTTTCTGATGCTTTCGATAATTAACAACCACCACTTGATAAAATATATAGAAAAAGAATATCCCAATTACAGTAGTTACACCTGAATTGTGAGCAAGGTTGATCCAAAAAGCATCCATTTGCTGAGAACTACGCCTTGCTTGCTTAAGAGACTGCTCGTGTTTGATTCTCCTCAGTTCTCTCTTTTTTTCCCTCTGCTCAAGCTTCTTCTGTGCTTTAAGAGCTTTTTCCATCCCTTCCGTATCTATCCTAACCCTGGCAAGCTCCTCTTTTCGCCTCCTCTGCAACTCCTTTTGGGCCATTTCAAGCTCCAATACTCGCTTTGATTTGGGTTTGGCCTGAAAGATAGAGAAAAGCCAACGAGGTACCTTTTGTAAGAAACCCAAAAATGGTTTTGGGATTTCAGGCTTTTGCAGCGGTGGGGTGTATGCATTTATGCACATCGAATTCATGTGCAATTCATCCCATGTATCCCAAAACCTTCCATCTCTCTCTACAGTAGGAATGACTGTTCTTAAAACCCTACCATCATTCAATACCACTAAAATAGGTCCGGGCCTTCGCTTTAGAGCTACAGTTGGGAGCTTTATTATGTGTTTAAGTTTGTTTTCTTTCTTTAGAGAGAGAATCTCTGTGTAAGGAATCCTTTCTGTCACACTGGGAAGGCCCTTAGACCATGCTTTGAGTTCTTCAGGTGATAACGTGCCAACTTTTTTTGAAGTTTTTGATTTCTTTTTCTCTTTCTCTACAACTTTTGCCAGTCCATGGGGTTGATGTGCAGAATAGGAGACCACTGTTAAAGTTGCAGATAGTTGAAGCAATTTAACCACGTTTTTCGTTATCTTCTCATCAGTCTCCGATGATATTGCCAAACATAAAACTTGATGGGAAACTAACCTTTTATGGCGGTGTTTCTGGCTCAAATTCCATAATTGCTTGGGCAACAATGAATAATTGGGTAACAATGTGCAACTAGGCAACAATGCAGAACAATGAACCAGAGAGCACACCATCATTGCCCTGATGAAATCTTCTATGAATTTAGGGTAACTAAAAATGCATTGGTGAAATGACTGCGCATTAATCTTTCACCAATTTGCATACCAGTCATGTATGTTCCGGGAAATATTTCAAAGGAAATGCTGCATCATAAAGATTAGTTCGTGAGTCAGCCATGAAGTTGATGTAGAAGCTCTGGTTCGTCAAACCAGGGTTTTACTCGCAGACTGACACCCACAAACTGGGGTTTTCACAAACAGGAACTGGATTCTCAGTAACAAAACGTCAGGTATAGACTGGAATTCTTGAGAATTAGGGTTTTGGAATCAGGACTGACTGGAGCTAGAGAGGAGTGGAGCCTCTGGTTAATTCAGGCGAAGCAGGCGGATACCGTCCCTCTCAGAAACAAGCAAAAATGCAAATTAGGAGAGAGAGAGAGAGAGAGAGAGAGAGAGAGAGAGAGAGAGAGAGCTATTAAGTAGGGTAAACTGTTACAGTGGCGGACGGGACCGCTATTCTACTATTGTCGGTCCCCCGAGATACGAACGTACCATACTAAATAATTAGAAACTAATGTAACTAA